TCATAATATAACAATTCGTTATAAGAATGGAATATTAGCTAATATCAGTTAATATTCATAAGCTTAAAGAATTGTGCTTGATAATAAGTAAACAAAAATTTGAAAATGCAAATTTCTCTTTGATTGCAGAAACTCCGATTAAAATTTACAATTCGTGATTATTGCTATTAATTAGAGAAGCCAGTCACGATGGCAAATATACAGAATAATATATATATGTGTGTCGACAGTCGAAATCTTTAGATCGGAAGATTTGACTGATCAGGCTAAATAAGATTGACACTTAGTCGTTTTCATTTAGTTAATCAGATCCCTGGACATATTACTATTACTCTACGTAGTACTAACACGTCCAATTCCAATAGACAATTTTGTAATTGTACTTATTACTTCCACTCGATTTACATTCTCATAACGTGTGAGATTTCTCCCGTGACAGAAATATAAAGTTACAGACGAAAATAATATTGTAATACTCATGAATTGCAGCTTTTCTTCATGAAAATACATTGATAAGGATGGCAACGCAAATAGCCTATCCCTTTATGACTATCAAGGGGGTATATAGGTGTTGGTCTTTCATAAAGTCTTAAATCTTTGCATCAAAACGTCCAAAGAGTCTTGCTTTGAGCCAGTCGAATAGAACCAAAAATTGAGAGCGACCGGAAACCAATTCGTTCAAATAAGCAAGTCGCCAAAAGGTATTTCCCCAAGTACCATGCAAAGAAAGTACTTTATTGAGATATGGAACGTTGAGATCAGCAATGGCCTTATCATGCCCGACATAAGCCAAGGCACCCTGGTGTTTGTATTGGAAAGGCTTCAATTGAGTGTTAGCAAGCTCTTGCTTCATAACGGAGAATTCTTTTTCGGCCTTCTTCTCGCCAAGCTGCTTTTCCATGACCTCAAGTCTATGCTTCAAAGCAGTAGCCTTTCCGGACCTGTTAAGATTAGCAGCTAACCAGTCACCCTGCTGATGAGCGACTTGAGCAGTAGCAGGCAATCCTGAGAAAGCACAGTCTCCAATGGCATACACATCAGGCATGCCCTTAACACGGAAGAATTCATCAATGATCAATCCTCTACGAGCACCACTTTGTTCGGGAATGGAAGACATTAATTGACGAGTCAAGTCACGGGCAGTTATACCAGCAGCCCAGACCAAAAGTCCATAAGGAATGTTCTCAATGGTCTTAGAACCATCTGCGTTGGTTTTTTGAATGATCAATTCCTTTTCGTTCACATCCTTAACAAGAGCTTCTGTCATAATATTGATGCGAATGTCTTTGAAAAGGTTTTGCGTGTACTGAACTAATTGCTTGGAAAACATAGGCAAGACCTTGGGAGCAGCTTCAATAAGTGTGATACGAACTTCCTTGTAAAGTTCAGGAAACATTCTACGGACATCACCGTCAATGTAATCGCGCATTTCAGCAGCAAATTCCATACCAGTGGGACCACCACCGACTACAGTAAAGTGCAAAAGACGTGAACGCTCCTCAGGTGTCAGGTTTTTGTTAAAACGCACTTGCTCCAAGGTATCTGAAACCTTTGTGAAAATCTTTTTGGCATCTTCAGCCTCCTTTAAGAAACAGCCATGTTCCTTCACACCTTTGAGTCCAAAGTATTGATTAGTGGCACCGATAGCAATTACCATATCGTCATAAGGAAGTTCAGTTTCCACGTCCTTATTGGCAGTAGTAGTACCACGAATAACAAGTTTTTTAGCCTTAGAATCAATAGATGAGCATTCGGCTTGATGTATCGCAGTGGGAGAAAGTTTGTCCTGTAAAAGAGATACTAACGGTTCGGTAATACTGGTCAAGCGTAAGGTACCGACCGTACAAGAGGGAAGCATGGGAGTGAAAAGGAAATGGTCGCGAGGACTAACGACAACTACATTGTACAGAGAGGTATCTATGTTCTTTATAATGGAAATTGCACCCCAACCGGATCCTAAAACGACAAGAGTCCTTTTTGGAGCGCCTGAAGCAACAATAGCATTGGAAGAAGGGACTACACCACGAAGGGATTGCAAAAAAGCAACACCCGTCAATAAAGAAAGACTTGAGGCCACCTCCATTACTTCAAACAAGCGGGATCCCATACTGGATCTTTGCATGGGAGGCTTCTCGTTGGCGCGGATCGCAGCTGAAGATTGGAATGAGCGGCGGAGCAAGACAGCATTTGACTGCCATCCTGACCTTTTCGCTAATTTAAGCGCGGTTTGAGGTCGTAATTTCAAAGAATAAGCCATTTTTTTTCTTCTACAAAATACAGCGTCTCAGGAAAAGAAAGTGAGGTATATAGAGCAAAAAAAATGACAGTATCAAATAATACTTCGTAACGATAATATTAATCCAGTTTCAACCAAGCTTTCGTGGTAAAACAAGGTCCGTCTTGGTTTTTTTAGAAACTTGAAAGAAACTTGAGCATACAACGGTTTAGGCTGCTATTTTTTTTATCAATTTTCGTACAAGCAAGTTGTAAAGTTCTGGTTTTTCTTGATCCAAGGTGAGAGGGGTGTTTGGAAGACTGCAAGTTCCAAAGCCTTGCTCACGACGATAAACAATTAAGGTACGGTAATAATGGTACACAACGTCATACTGCGGTTTCTCGGCTTGCTATTGGAAAAGCAAGGTACCACTAAACTTTTGGCATTCATAAAGAAAATAGCAGACCGATTTCATGATCTGGTAAAGACACTTAACGATATGGGATGAGGCTTAGTGGATTAATGAATCAAAGGAAAAAGTGAAAAGGCAAGAGAAGATAGTTTGAAGGATTGAGTACTTTCTAGGAATTGAAGGAATAGCGAATCTGCACGAAATTAAAGAAAATGGGTCGTTTTGAACGTCATGTTGTGAATGTATTATGATTCCTCCAAAAGACAAGTCCATTATGAAGCGAGCAAAAGCTCAGACTCTTAATAGGAAATCTTCTTTATGCTTTATTTCGTTTTTTGTTTCATAGAGTGATCAACTTTTCGAAAACAATACCACCTTGTTGTTGTGCTTGGTTTCATTGTGCTTTGACCATTGTTTGAACGGAAAAGGTTCAGTAAAGTTGGGTTCGTTTCAAATTTAAAACTGATCTTCTGTTTTTGATCTGTGAAAGCAGCTTATTATGTGTGTAGAAGCTCAATTACGATAGGTTGAGTGAGGGTTTATTTTAATCATGCAGCAGCAGCAGTCTTCCAGCCCTAAGAATCCCTATACATTTCATTAACAGAATCCATCTAATCATCGATAAAAGTAAAAGTAAAAAGCAGAATATCCAAAAAAAGTAAAAAAAGATCGACGATTCACTGATGTTTCAAAACAGGAGAACAGCGATAAAATGTTATTAAGCGATTTTCTCTGTTTAGTCCTTCATTTTTACATCTTCTTCCTCTTCTTCTTTCTTTTCGCCAATAGGTAGGTCTTTATTGTAAGCATTCATGAACAGGGTCTTCATTTCCTGAGTGATCTTATCAACATGCGCTGGGGACTTGCTTAGCACCAAAAAGAATTCTTCATCAGGAATTGTCCCAGAAGTTTCAACGAGAATCAATTTTTTTTCCTGCATAGATACGCTGTAAGCCAAGTTAATTATGGAACTCATCATCTCTGTTGGTTCTTCGGCGGTCACATTCTTAAACTCGCTGAAGCCCAAGGGATCCTTCCAGTGACAAGTTATCGCACTTGGAAGGTACTTTAAGGAAATACCGGCGTCCAAAAGTGCCAGTGTAGCTCCATTGATTGCAGCCGCAAGCGTATCCTGCGAGTTTCCTTCAACAACCTGTATCGACACCTGAATCAATGTCCTAGGATAAGTGGTCAAATAGATGGCATCTTCTAAAAGACTGGATATTCTGTTGGAAAGCATTCTCTCGAGTGTTTCAGAGGCTCCATTCATGGGTTGAACCAAAACCTCCACAGAAGCCTTATTTAGTTTCTCGTCGCGAATTTTAATTTCAATTGGACCATTAACATTACAAATAACGCGAGTTGACCCTTGAACGATTAGCTAAAACACGGAACTTTTGTTTCAATTCAGTTGCAACCGCCAGTCATCGGTTGTTTCTGGTTTTTACCGACATACCTTGTTTCCATTCACTTGATCCATCTGACTGTGTTAAAAACCCAATTTTATTCATGATTTGATTGAATTGTTGCTCAACAAATGTTGGAATCTGCAAATTTTGCTTCAAGTACGAAAACCAAGCTTTCAGACAAATAGTGCTACACGCATTACCTCGCTATAAAGTAAACAAAAGCACTGGTTTCCAAAGAATCGGAATGAAGATTTTTATAAACAGTTTCTTTTTATTGTGTGAAATAATATAAAAAATTGCTCTATAATTGCATGAAGGAACCATTGCTTTATTTCTACATAGAAAATAGATCGATTTCTATCTTCTTGTCGGCATTGATTTTCAGGTACAGGAAAGTAAGTCTAATCGGATGTCTAACCGGATGAAATAGAAAAGAAAATAGAAAGATCATACTGCTCAATTTTGAAACCAATCGCTTTTACGCATTTCAGCAAGTCGACTGAGACAACGTGAAAAAGCAAAGACCTCTTCTACCCCTGCAAAATTGCCATGGTAATTCGATTCAGATGCAATTTTAGAGTGTTCACCACTCTCAGTGTATTTCTTTGATATTTCAGAGGATTGTAAAGGTTTGTATCCCTCCGGCGTAGGATAAATTAGATCTACTGGAACGTCAGCAGATAAAATGACTTTAGCACGAGAATCGTAGGCTGCATCAATAAAGTTGATAAACCTTCGAACTAGGTCTTTTGCTTCAATGGAAAGTTGGGGGATATCGGAAATAATAAATGCTCGAAAGCGATTTGCCAACGATATATAATCAGCTGCACTTTTTGGCTCTCCACAAAGTTCCTTGAAAGTGAACCAGGCTGCATCTCCACTGACTTTGGGAACGAGAATGGTCCTTCCAAAAACTTCCAACTGTACCTCGTGAGTTGGATCTCCACGAATATTTCCGTATCTTTCAAACCATTGTTGCAATTGCTTTTTCACTAAGGGATCTTGAGCTGGGTGAAGATATATATCTTCTGTTTCGGATTTAAGACGTCGATAATCGTTGGGACTATCTAGACAGATTACGTTCAAACTTTCGTTAAGCAGATGAATACAAGGAAGAAAGCTCTCCCTTTGAATTCCATTTTTGTAAAGGTCATTTGGAGCACGGTTTGAAGTGATGAAAATAACAACTCCGTACTTTTGTAAGCATTCAAACAATCTTCGAAGTATAAGAGCACCCGCTACATCTGTCACTTGAAGTTCATCAAAGCACAACACTGTACATTTGCTTGCAAGCTGAGCACTAAGATAATCAATCACGTCGAAGCCGTAACCCTTCACTTGTTTCAAATGGTGTGCAGATTGATGGATGTGTAGCATAAAGGCATGAAAGTGAATGCGCTTTGAGCGAGTAATATTCGAAGGTAAGTGATTATAAAATAAGTCCATCAATGCAGTTTTCCCACATCCGACGTCGCCATACAGATAAATGCCTTTAGGTATTTGGGGAGCGAAGGGTCTTGAAGATGCCATAAAACGGGAAGCATATTTGCCAAGTGTAGAGCGAAACTTGGATAAGACAGAAGTCTTTTCTTCACCTCGGGAATGCAAATGGAAGCTTTCCTTGGGTACAGGAGGTTGCGTGTACGCTTGTAATTCTTGGTACAATCCATTGACGGCAAAGATGGCCTTTTCTTGGTATGGATCAGGCTTCCATTTTCCTTCTTTTACTTTAAGCTCATAGGCTTCTAAAGGGCTTTTGGAAGATTTTTGACGAACGAAAGTATGTTGTCGCGGCAGCGACCTGGACATGCCACGCTGAATTTCAAATAAAGATGAAGGTCGGATAATGAACATTTTAAAGAAAAAAATCAAATAGTTTAAAAACTGAGAGACCAAGTCGTTTCAATCGGCTAAAGACAGCCTGTTTCCATTTACGTTTTAACTTTCCGATAAAAATGAGAGCTTTGCGTTTTTCATAAATCAGGAGGAGTACTTCAATTTAAAGTAAAGAAGGACATGAAGATACCACTGCAAATAGTTTCCGTTTTTGCAGAATTCCTATAGAAAGGAAAAACTCGGTATATGGCAGGTTGCAGCTACTTGGTGCATAACATTATACAAAAGTTAAACTTTAAAAATCAGCTTAATTGTTGTTTTGGAAAAGATAATTCAATTGAATTCCCTATAACAATGCATCGATTTCTAGAACCGAAAGTGGAAAATAGTTGCATCCTTTCACAGAGCTTGAAAGGGAAAAGAAAAGGAAGAGTCGTATCAGAGCAAACGAAGCTGTCTCTCAATGTTGTTGTAGAGCAAAAAGAACAGATCATTAGTTTATTTATTTATTACTGAGGCAAAATGAGACCCTCATTAAATGCTGTAAATAAACAACAAATACATGAGAAACCAGTTATTAGAATTTGTAGAATTTACTGTATATTTTCCTCAATCATTGCATTCGCTCTCTTATGGTTCTCTTCCGACCCCTTGCTTGCTTCCTTTAAACTGGGAAAATGTAGGACCTTGAAGAGTAGAATCTGAACGTTGCACAAAAAAAAAATAATAATTAACTAAACTAAAGCCCTAAAGAAATAGCTAGTCCAATTTACCTGGCAGCTTCAATTTAACCTAAGAGTTTCCAGATGCAAGGAACACAGGAAACGCCAGAATCAAGAAAGAAGGTATGGTACTTTCTCTGATAACAAAAAACATGAATGAAAAACAAGAAAACATAAGTGAAAAGAACAACCTCCAATTTACTCGCAGATTTCTCAAATAGCATTGATTTGCTCCTTCCATATCTTTTGTTTACTCTATAGGGATGCACTCCAGGTCATTATTTTGGCTATTAGGCTGCGTAGCGCTTCTGTAATTAATGTTATAAAGGATACTTTCAGAAGACTTTGACCTTTACCAACTGGTTACAAGCGATTAGAACTAGAAATATGGGTGTTGAAAAGCAAGTTATTTTAGTAAGTCTGAGACAGCATCATTTGAGAGCGCTTTGAGTCCAAACTACGTCTCTGGAGGTATTCGTATGGACTACGACAAAGGGCACATGACCATTTTTTGGAAACATAATGATAGATTGGGTTTGAATATCCTGCTAACATACAATTTTATTAGCCTGGTGATGGCCAAAACTTTCCTAAGCCTGGTGATCGGTAAGTATGATATATTATTATACGTAAAACAAGTGAACAGGTAGAGATGTCGTGCTATTGAACGAAACACGAGAACTTTGGTTAATGTTTTCGTTATTCCATTTGCTTATTTGTACTTATTTACACTTCCATTGGTCTTCTATTTGATAGCTAACTCGTACATTTAGTATCACCATGCACTACACCGGTAAGTGGATAACCTTATAAGCATATAAAAGCCTGCTAAATTTTGGGAATTGGCGTGCGGTTTAAGTTTCTAAATTGGAGGGTTTTTATTGGCATGTTTTACGAGACTATTTGCTCATACTATAATTTCCATAGGTACTCTTGCAAACGGTAAAAAGTTTGACTCTTCCGTTGACCGTGGTACCCCTTTCACTTGCAATATTGGCGTTGGTCAATTGATCCGTAAGTTTGTTTACGATAATGTCTATAAAATTGCACAGACCAAGTTCTTTTTTTCTAACTTTACTAATTAGGTGGATGGGACGAAGGTGTTCCTCAAATGAGTTTGGGCGAAAAAGCCAAACTCACCATTACTCCTGACTTTGGTTATGGGTTCGTAACTGTCACCTCTTTACTTTAAGAGTCTTTCTTGTGTTAACTAACATCTATAGCCCTCGTGGATTCCCTGGTTTGATTCCCGCCAATAGCACTCTCGTCTTGTAAGTAAACATCGGTTTATTTTTGTCTATAGTTTTCCTTACTTGCTAATGATTTTCTAGCGATGTTGAGCTTTTGGCCATCAATAACTTGAAGGCTTGATCATCTAGCAAATAGACGCTAGTATCTAAGTTTTTTTTATCTATGATGCTTTAGTATACGAACTTCTATTTTTATATAAGATTGGTTGAATCTTGCATCAGATCTTTTCCATATTACTACAAAGAAACAAAGGTAATACTTTAGCTCTTGTAGCACATTGAGATATGAGAAATCATGATATCGACATTCAAAAATTTTCTAAATTTATTAAAAAAGAAAGAAGAGTATGCATTATTAATGAATCCTAAAGTCAAGATATCTTGGAGAGTTCTCAAAACTATTATGCTTCAAGACAACCAACCATCTGATATACAGTCTCGTCAGTAGGCTTCAGCAAATATGGTGGAGCGAATCCGGCATTATATTAAGGTATTATTAAATTTCAAAAACTAAAAAATTAATTGGTTGAACAATTAAAGAGTGAAACAAAAGTTTAACAGCAATCTGAGTTTAATGAAAAACTCCTTACCTTTCAAGAAGTGCATTTTTGGACTCAATTCTAGTCGGGACCATGCAATCCTCTTTATGACAAACCAAGTATATTACCATCCTCATCCAAATCAATGTTGTAGTAAGCAGGCTTGGTAGGCAAACCAGGAATAGTTGATATAGCAGCTGCTAAAGGATAGATGAAACCAGCACCTGCACTTAAGCGCATATCACGGATGGGTACGGTAAAATTATTGGGAACGCCCTTAAGTTCGGGATCGGCTGACAAACTGTATTGTGTTTTGGCGATGCAGATAGGTAAGTCTTTATATCCTTGCTCAGTGAAACGTTCCAATTTTTCACGTGCCAGAGGACTCAATTCTATTCCATCAGCCCCATACATTTCCTTAGCAATTATTTCAATTTTCTTTTCAATTGGCAAGTTTAAGTCGTACAAAAATCGAAAATCAGCCTTTTCATTCTCACAGGCATGAATTAAGGCACGAGCAACGTTCAGAGCACCATTTCCTCCTTCAGCCCAGTGATTAGATATAACGGCGTCAGTAGCTCCAGCACGAAGAGCCTCTTCACGAATGGCAAAAATCTCACTGTCAGAATCGGATGCAAACTTGTTGATCGCGACCACAACAGGAAGGCCATATTTACGAGAATTGCTAATATGTTTAGCGAGGTTAGAACAACCTTTTCGTACAAGTTCAACGTCTTCATTCTTGTACACTTCAGGAATAGGCTTGCCAGGACCAACAGGAGGTCCACCACCGTGAAGCTTTAGGGCTTGTACAGTTGCAACAATAACAACAGCATCGGGTTTATGACCAGAAGTACGGCACTTAATGTTTATAAATTTTTCCATGCCAATATCAGAGGCAAATCCTGCCTCAGTGACCACATAGCCAGCATCCTTAGTTTCATCTTCATCTGGCTCTGTACCTGCTAACTTTAGAGCAATCTTATCCGCAATGATAGAGGAAGCGCCAATACTAATGTTTGCAAAAGGACCGGCGTGAACAAGAGCTGGTGTACCCTCAAGGGTTTGCATTAAGGTTGGCTTAATGGCATCCTTTAGCAATACCACAAGGGCACCACCAACACCTAAATCATCAGCTGTAACAGGATCACCTTGTTTATTACTAGCAACAACCATTTTACCTAACCGTTCGCGCATATCCTTTAAGTCAGTAGCCAAAGCCAATACCGACATACACTCACTAGCAACGGATAAGTCAAAGCCAGTTTGGCGAGTAAATCCCTTCTCAGTGGAATTTTCACCAATAGTAATTTTTCGAAGGAATCTATCATTAGTATCCAAGGTACGGTTCCAAGAAATAGTTGAAGGATCAATGTCTAATCTAGCAAATCGGGACTTTTCTCCGTCCGTCAATTCTTCAGGGTTTTCCTTACTGATGCCAAGTTTTTCAAGACGACGGAACATAACAGGTGCAAATTCGGTTTTGTTGCCTTTTACAGTGGTTAATCGTTTGAACAAAGCAGCATCGCTTTGTGTATTTTCGTGAAAGATTCGAGTATCAATAGCAGCAGCAAGCAAATTAGTGGCCGCAGTAATGGCATGTATATCACCGGTCAGATGAAGATTAAAGTCCTCCATAGGAAAGAACTGAGAATAACCACCGCCAGCAGCACCACCCTTGATGCCAAAAGTGGGGCCTTGAGAAGGTTGACGAACGCAAGCAATAGCAAGCTTATCCAAATTGGAAAGAGCCTGGACGAGGCCAGCAGTGAGGGTACTTTTACCCTCACCAAAAGGGGTAGGAGTGATACCGGTGACAACAACATAATGACCGTCACGACGATGGCTCAAACGTTTCAATAAGTCCAAACTCACTTTAGCTTTATAAGCACCATAGCATTCTAATTCATTTTTGGAAATACCAATTTCGGAAGCCAAGTCACCAATGAATTTAGGAGTTTGAGATCGAGCAATATCGATATCACTGGGAACAGGAGTTTGAATTTTCAAAGGCAAAAGAGAGGGCATACGTTTGCGAGCCAATTCTTTACAACGGATGGCCGAATCCACAACATTCTGCATCAACATGGCAACGGTCATGGGACCCACAGATCCAGGGACCGGGGTAATGGCGCTAACGACTTCTTTAGCATTTTCAAAATCAATATCACCAGTCATGCGATAACCAGACTTCTTGGAGGAATCAGGGATATAGTTAATTCCAACATCAATTGCAACAGCGCCTTCCTTGAACCAATCAGCTCTCACAAAATGAGCAGAACCAACAGCCGAAACGACAATATCAGCAGTTTTCACAATCTCTGGAATAGCCTTTGTCTTCGAATGACACATAGTAACGGTAGCATTGGCCTTTTCCAAAAGCAAGCTCATGGGCAAACCAACAATGTTACTACGACCAATGACAACGGCATGCTTTCCAGCGACGGAGATGTTGTAGTGTTTTAGAATCTTCATGACACCTTTGGGTGTACAAGCTACAAAGAGAGGTTCGCTACCGCGCTTGGCCAGTTTACCCAGATTCCCTTCACAGAAACCATCAACGTCTTTCTCGACACTGACAGACTCTGTGATGCGACGCTCGTCCAAATGAGAAGGTAGGGGTAATTGGACGATGATTCCATGGACAGAAGGGTCGTCGTTAAATCGTTTTAAAGCCAATAACAATTCGTATTCAGAGATATGCTGAGGATAATTGATATGTTCACAGTTAATGCCAGTCTATAGAAAACGTTAGACGAATTAGTTCAATTTCTTCATTAACCATAGCACAGCTCTCGAATTGCAAAAGAAAGCATTAGCAAATAATCAGACAAAATGTCCCAAGGCGCGTCAAATCACCAGTTTTAAAGCTCGCTTTCTCTACCACAACTCACAAATCCCACTGAAGGAACTACTCACCTCTGCAGCAGCACGTGTTTTCATTCGAACATATACGCTGGAATCCTCACGTGCGCCTACTTGAACGATCTTTAAGACAGGTTGGAACGTAGGGCATGTTTTTTGGATGGAAGAAACGCGTTCGCGTAAAATTTCCCTGGTTTGGCTACTCAATTGTTAAAAGCAAGGTCAATCAATAGAAGCATTTCCTTACCGCGCTAATGCAACGCCCTCTAGAAGTTGAGCCATGAAAGTAAAGTATAGGGAAAAGGCAACTGGCTGCCAAGAAACAAGACCATCCTAAACAATCTACCCCAAATCTGAGATCATGATTTTATATTGTATACACGGAATTGTATAATGTAATTGAACAAAATAAAACTACATTTGTATAATTGTCCCTTAGACTCTTTCTCTTCAACTTTCAGCAGGTAGAATCCCTTGCTCATGCAGATCCTTAGATCGGTTTGGAGACGCTTAATTTTGTGGCAAACTCGGCTAATAGACAACTAAAAAAATTTCTCGGTGAAAAAAATAGAAAAATGCATTGGACGTCATGTTCAGCTGATAGAAACAAAAGCGCCTCTTGATTGGCTGCACAAAAATTTAAAATAGAAAAGGACCCTACTTTCACGAGTCAATTGTGACTGCTTTCTAGGAATGTAAAGCTATATATATGGAGGACTCCTGGCGTTACAAACTTCTAACGTCTACTTTGTAATTTCATAAAGTATCAAAATGGGCAAGGAAAAGGGACATATTAACATTGTTGTTATCGGTCACGTCGATTCTGGTAAGTCTACCACTACCGGTCACTTGATTTACAAGTGTGGTGGTATCGACAAGCGTACCATTGAAAAGTTCGAGAAGGAAGCCACCGAATTGGGTAAGGGTTCCTTCAAGTACGCCTGGGTTTTGGACAAGCTCAAGGCTGAACGTGAACGTGGTATCACCATCGACATTGCCCTCTGGAAGTTCGAAACTCCTAAGTACTATGTTACCGTTATTGATGCTCCCGGTCACCGTGACTTCATCAAGAACATGATTACTGGTACTTCTCAAGCTGACTGCGCCATTCTCATTATTGGTGGTGGTACTGGTGAATTCGAAGCTGGTATCTCCAAGGACGGTCAAACTCGTGAGCACGCTTTGCTTGCCTACACTTTGGGTGTCAAGCAACTCATTGTTGCCGTCAACAAGATGGACTCCGTCAACTACTCTCAAGCTCGTTTTGAGGAAATTATCAAGGAGACTTCCAACTTCGTCAAGAAGGTTGGTTTCAACCCCAAGACCGTTCCTTTCGTCCCCGTCTCTGGTTTCCAAGGTGATAACATGATTGAGCCTACCACCAACATGACCTGGTACCAAGGCTGGCAAAAGGAGACTAAGGCTGGTGTCGTCAAGGGTAAGACTCTTTTGGAAGCCATTGACGCCATCGAGCCCCCTGCACGTCCCGTCGAGAAGCCCCTCCGTCTTCCTCTTCAAGATGTCTACAAGATCGGTGGTATTGGCACAGTCCCCGTCGGTCGTGTCGAAACCGGTACTATCAAGCCCGGTATGATTGTCACCTTCGCTCCTTCTGGTGTCACCACTGAGGTTAAGTCCGTCGAAATGCACCACGAATCTCTTGAAGCTGGTCTCCCCGGTGACAACGTTGGTTTCAACGTCAAGAACGTTTCCGTCAAGGACATCCGTCGTGGTAACGTTGCTGGTGACTCTAAGAATGACCCCCCTATGGGCTGTGCTAACTTCACCGCTCAAGTCATCATTCTTAACCACCCCGGTCAAAT